ATATATATATATATATACCAAACCAAACAAAAGTTATAAAAGAATCAAAATGAAAATAACCATATATTATATAGACCAAAGTCTTACTTAAACCTAAAATTATATTAACACATTATTTGATTTTACATTTATTGGCTAATTTTATGCTTAATTTTGTCAAACACTTATGTACAGTAAAACGGAGTGTCTGGCCACAAGCATAGTATCTTCAATAAAACAGTTACAGTAATATATGACTTCACCTAAATATATGTCGACCTACTTATATTGCTACCATTTTACTTTGTCATAAATAGTTTGTGAACTGTCATCTGTAACAGTGTCTTCTTGCCTCTATGCAACAGCTCATAGCCACACTGTTTCCTACGACTTTTCTTCCTAGTATTGAGCTCGTTTATTTATACGGAAAATATTAACAAGTGTCTTTACCCTTGAGGGTACTGTGGATATTGTTTAAGAAATTTAAAAATAAATTATTAATTACTTAATGGTAACAATACACTCTCTTTCACGATTTTTCATATATAATTCAAATATAATCTTCAATAAAAAAATTATTTATTAATTTCTTAAACCCTAATAACAAAAGCTCGAGTCAATGCAAGGTTTCCTACCCACATTCAATCCTGTTGCAACATTTTGTGCAAACTCACCTACTTTCTGTCAATGCCATTTACTTCGGAATAACTCACTCACTTGTAATTTCAGTGTTTGGGCCCCCCTCTCTTCTCCAACGAAATGCCAAATTCTCATACGAATACTGTCTGGCAAACATTTAGATACATGTCTAGTTCTTGCTATAGCTAGTATCATAAAAAAAAAAATAGTTGTGTTATTTAAAGAGTTAACAAAAACTCATTTTATTATAATTTTAAAAATCATGAGAAAACGTTAACAATGCTTTGTAATGAATACGTTTTATTATTGCTGTTATAGTGTACTGTTGAAATAGTATCATGCATCTAAGTTTAGGACAAACAACTTTTATATCTATATATATACATAAAGAATGAGTTCTGTTTTAGTTTATACTTGGAACAAATGTAAATGAATAGACAAAGAAATTATTAAATAAAAAATACAAGTGTTTAATATTTTATTTTTGAAGTAGTTAAATGAATAGTAAAAATTATTTTAATTACCAACACATGTTCCAAAAACAAACACTAATTTTGTTTATATTTAAATAAAAAAGTATAATGTGTGATAATCTTTCAATTGAGCTAGTCTCTATGGTCAGTTTCATCATGTCATTAGCATTATATTTAGTAATATATACGGTAGTTGTCACTTTTATCAATATATAGAAATGTTAAAGAATTTAAATAAAATATTTTTTTATTAAGATGTGATATTTAATATTACCAATCTTTTTATTAAAATTTGAATAAACACAATTTATTTAAGTAGTACTAGTAGATATAGCAAGGCTAGGAAATCAATAAAAATAAAAATAAAAATAAAAATAAAAATAAAAAGCCTATAGGAAACATACGTGGGTGTGCACTAAATGAGTGAATACACAAATTCAATATATCTGTTCACCATACTTCAGACAAAATAATGTTGGCCAGACCCATTTAATGTAAGACTCATAACCTATGGCAGTTGATCCGAACCACAGACATCAACAATGGTAGAAATTTAGTGTACGAATATTATTGGCCACAGCTACTCTACTGAAAAGCAACCTATATGAACTTGCTAGCTGTTTCCAAGCAATAGTAATTAAAGTTTTCCCCTTTTCCTTGCCAAATAACTTATCCCATTTTCTTTATGAAATTTGTAGTATCCAAAGTGGGTTGGAAATTTCAAACTGGTAAATCAGACTAATTTGCTTTCTATCAGGTCCACTCAATCTTCCATGTTTATATACAATGTAACATTTTATACAAGTAACACCTTCTGAAGGTCTATTTATGAAAACAGAGAAGCAGATACTTGTATATATACCATGTATTGATTGGTACAGCCTGTTAAAATCAACCACAACTGTTTCTGAGAGTAAATTAAATATTATGTACATTGATTGATATTCATACCTAGGGGTATGTCTCCATCACGCTCCCTCAAATGTGGGGGTACTGTGTTGTTGATTTCACTGTCAAGTGTTTGATATTGTATAAACAAGCGAAGTTTCCTAATTATATTGAAGAGGCATAGATATAATGCTAACTAAGCTTCCTACATCCTAAAGTTCTTTAGAGTAAGCATGGCAAAAAATTATTGTACGTATCTTAAACCAATACCACATTTGCACCCACCCAAATTACTTATTGCTTAGGACAAAATTTAAGTACAATATTTTAAATGTTGTTAATGTTATTCTCATTCAGAATTGAAAATTTACTTAAATAATATACACTTACATTTCCTACAAATTTCATTAATATACATTTACACATATATTTATCAAAATAAAATTTCAATTCTAATTGAAAAACACCACTAATTATACTTAAAGAACTATAGTTAAGTTTTGTTCAATTTTGAATTTACGAAGTTTTGTCCCATTGCTTTAGCATTAATATTTGATAAAAATAAAGATGGGGTTGGGGAGAGAGGATTTAGATGTGTAAAACATGTTCAAGGTTTTTCAGAATATTTTAGGCTTTATTACACGAAGTAGGGAATTAATACCATGAGTAAATGCACCCTGCAAGACATCAACTAACCACACACACTTCCCACCTGCTAATATTTACTACTACAATTCAGTTCTATGAACCGTTTTATATTCCATGCTATCTCCCTTCTCCAAACCACTCCAAAATCCACTCTTAACCCTTCTTTCTCTGCTATCTCTCTTGTGTTCTAAGCAATGGAGAGGAAAAGAAGCCATGTCTCTATTACCATGTTTACGATGCTTCTTGGGTTGCTCTCTCAGCACCTTATCATTCCTGTAATCTCCACCACTGTTGAAGATCAGAAGAACTACTGGCCAGATCCACATGCAGGAAGCTCCCCCACAGGTTTCACTGATTCTTTGTGTAATCCCTCTAACTGAAGTACTACATTAGTCCAATATTAATTATCCAAGCAAAAATAATAATTTTCATAGCATAATATTATTATATTTGTTATTCTTACGTAGCATGAAGTTTCAAATGACCAAATTAAATGTTTCTTAAAAGATTATAGTGTGTTTCATCTCAGATATATAACTTTGCACATCTACTAAGAAACCAAGAAACTACTGGTCGTAGCTTCCACTTATTTTTGTCTCTAAGATCAATCTAGTGGTAGGGTTTCTGATTGAATTTCCAATCATCCATTTAGATGATATAGGTCGACTTACTTTTAGAGGTTAGAGTACAACGAGTAAAGTTTTAGGGTAAAACTTTGTTATTATTTGTAATCTTTTCTATCGATAAAAAAAGATGATATACATTGTCTTCTTCTTGACTCACTGCAGGCTCACACAGTCCTCCTCCTACATCTCATGGCCATGGAAGCTCTCCACCCTCACATGGTGGTGGAAGTTACCGTCCAACTCCATCAGCACCCTCAGGTGGAAACTGTGGATCATCATCACCCCCACATCATGATCCAACACCCTCAACCCCATCAACACCATCAAACCCTCCTTCAGGTGGATACTATAACAACCCACCATCTCATGGAGGTGGTAGCCCCCCTACACCTGTCACTGTGAGCCCACCAACCACACCAGTAGACCCTGGCACCCCCAGTATCCCTTCACCACCTTTCATTCCTTCCCCATCTCCCTTCACTGGCACATGCAAGTAAGTTTATTGCACAACTTTGCTCAACGTTACCTACTAAATATGTGTAAGATACAGTAAAGTATATAATAGAAAAATTGTTTTTTTACCTCTGTGGTTACTCTATCTTTAGAGTTTAGACCTAACCCTTGCACACAAAAGAAAGAAAAAGTATGATATGAAAATAACATGGGTTATACAATTAATATATTTATTATACCAATTATTTTACACCACTTTTAACTCTTCTTGATAGAGTCACCTTTGCACTTTTCTCTGTCTCTTTTTCCTCCTTTCATGTCACTTAGCTGTTTATCTCATGTGGATAAGCTAGGGTATAAGAAGAGGTACAGAAAAAGAGTGTTGTGAAATGAATATTTTTTACTTAATATATTGGAATATTTTAGAGTAATATTATTTCCAACAAAAAAAAAATTACAATTTTTTTTATCATATTCTTCCTTTTATCTTTTTCATTAAATTACTCATTTCTTTGTATTTATTTCCTTTTTCCTTTCATTTCTCTCCTTATTATTGAAAATGTTGTGAAAATTTTAATACAAATCACATTACTCTATGTATTTTATTGAACCTTTTCCTTATTACATCCTTCTTTATTTATTTATTTGTACATCACATGGCTTATCATGTCGATTATTTCTTTTCTTTTCTCTCAAGATGTTCAAGAGATATGAAAAAAAAAAAAAACTTTTTTTGATAATATACATCATTTCCAGTTATATATATAACCTGATGGATCCTTAATTTTCCTTGAACCTTCAGCTACTGGAGGTCTCATCCAGGAATCATATGGGGAATTCTTGGCTGGTGGGGAACCCTAGGGAGTGCATTTGGTGCCACAAGTACTATTCCAGGGTTCAGTCCTGGTATGAGCTTGCCACAAGCTCTTTCTAACACAAGAAATGATGGGCTTGGAGCACTCTACAGAGAAGGCACAGCTTCCTTCCTCAACTCCTTGGTCAACAACAAGTTCCCTTACACAACCAACCAAGTCAGGGACAGATTTGTGGAATCACTCAGTTCCAACAAGGCTGCGGCAGCACAAGCACAGCTCTTCAAGATGGCCAATGAAGGAAGAATGAAGCCTAGACCATGAGATGGATTGATTAATTAGTCTTAGTTTCATTTGGTGTGTCAATTTACTCAGTTAAGAGCATTTATATCTAAGATTTCTGTTAGTTTGTGTCATTTAATTAAGGTTCCTCATCACATGTGTTAATTAATATGTCTTGAGATGGATATCTTGTTTCTTCGAAATTTAATGCAAACTTTATGGTTTTGGTTTTGAATAAAGTTTATTTATTGTCGTAATTGATGGTTCTAGGATATAGACCTTCATTAGTTCATAAAATTACAAATTTAAATGAAAAAGTACTTATATAAGATAAATCTTTTTAAGAAGTTATCATTTTAAATTTATAAAATGGACATTTTTTTTTAAATTTTTATCCTTTTCCAAAAGTTTACATAAATATTTATAATTTTTCAAACACATGTTTTAATTATTATTTTTTTAAGAAAAAAAGGTATTGTTTTTCTTTATGGAAAAAAAAACCCTCAAAGAAGGGACCCTAAATCCCTGTGTTTTTAACCTGGGTCAAAATGGATTGACTTTAATTTCCCAAATAGAGTAATAATTCTGAAGTAGCCGGAGGCATCAATTCAAATAGATGATTGGTGAGTCTTGTAGACGTTCGAGCAAGGTCCCAACCTTTTAAATGTTTAAAGTTGTCTAGGATTGTTTCCTAGTTACATAAAGTACATGGTTTAGATGTCTATATACATGTGTGTAAACAAACTTACACGAAAAGGAGTTACCCTTATATCCTAGAGGAATTCCCTTTATATGAAAAGAAGCAAGTGAATACAATGATAGGACCAGTTACTGTTAGTGCCTAGTTAATTATTCCGAAAATAATATATATATATATATATATATATCTATAAGGCTGTCTTCTGGTTAAGATATTAAAACAAAAAAGTTGACGCAAATATAATGATCAAATGATTTATTATATATTTAAGCTATAATTTATTCAGTTACAATTATTAGGCTACTAGTTCATCAAATAATAATTTGTTAATAATATAATTTTTTAAATATATACATACATATATGTGTAATATATATATATATATATATATATATATTACAATATTTAATAATTTTTTATTGGATAATTTTATTTTTATTGAAAGTTTAGTGATCTACATAGATTATATTTACAAAATCATATAGTATTTTTGTACCTACATAGAGATATTTCTTTCTCCTTCTCGTAGATGTTTTCATTTCTCTTTACTTCCCAATTTAATTAGTTGCCCAGACACATTAAGTGCACCCACAATAGACATTTTGATGCTCAAATAAGTTATCCTTTCAATATATTAAATGCAATTAATGAATAATATTTTTACCTCAAGATACGATATTATTTATATTAACTATAATAGGTCCAGATCTTACTGAACTGCAATTTAAAATTAACAATTAGATAATACGTCAATAATTGATTCTGTATTAGTGATTAAATTATGATTACATTTATTATCATAACTTAGATTAAGAGGTTTCTTAACCCGTTCGAATTCGACGTTCTTAGATTCACTTGTCTCAATCATCATACCCTAAACTTAGATTAAGAGGTGAAGTTATCAAGGGTGCAACGAGAGCAACAAAATTCTCATTGCAACTAATCATAACTCTAAGCTTGTAATCACAATTTTATAAACAAATACAAAAGAGTCAAAAACTATCACTACTATTATATCTTATTTTATTTTATTACATAATAATACATTATAGATTTATAGGTTGATAATAATTCCAACTTTTTCATTTATTAGTTTAATGGACCAACTCGTAAACTTGCGGGCTAGCCCAACTTCAACAATTAACCCTGTAGGGCTTAGCGAGTTAGGACAAAATGTCTTGGTTCTATTTATACCATCGGTCTAATTTGACCTTATTTGCAGGATGACCCAATTTGACCTTATTTGCATGGTGACCCATCATGCTGGAGATAAATTGATAGTCTTGTGTAGGATGGAAATTGATTCATACATAGGAGTGAGAATTTTATACTTTTTTTAACAAAGAAATTTTATAACTATTAATAGTGAAATCCACATAAAGTCAATATGAAGAAATTGATGTCTTTAATTAGCATTAGTGTCATTTTACAATTAATAGAAAATATATTTGAATTTTAAAAGGCAAAAGAAAATCTAGAAAAAAGTGGGCCTTGACTATGTAGTTTTGACCAGAATTTTTTTTATAACAAACTATGTACTCTCCCTTTAATAAAATATAGATAGATATAGATATAGATAACATAAAGAGAAGAAAGGGAAAAAAAATGTATCTTTTATCTTTCCCATGATGAATGCAAAAAGAAAATTGAATAATATAGGTGAGAAATTTTGTACTTATTAATTACACAATCCATATAATAAATATGAAGTTAATATCCTTAATTGATATTAACGTCATTAAATTTATTAAATACTAATAGACTTCTTTACAATTTACAGATAACATTTGAATTTTCACTATTTTTTTATATTTTCCTACAAACAAAAATTTGCAGGAAATATTTGTGGATTTTCCTACAAATAAAAATTTGCAGGGAAATTTTTGGTGATGTTTCTGCAAAATAAATTAGCGAAGAATTTTTTATGAATTGTTACGAATTTATTTAATATAAAAACTATTTTTTATGGAAAATAAATTCCAGAAACACTAGTAAAAAATACACTTTTAAAATTGGTCATTTTTTACTTTTAAAATCGATTTTTTGACCGATTTTAAAAGAGCTAATTTTAAAAAGTAGCATTTTTAACATCGGTCATTGACCGATGTTAAAAGTACATGCATCAACCGATTTTAAAAGTAAGACTTTTAACATCTGTCATGCATAAATTGATTTTAAAAGTTAAACTTTTAAATTGGCACAGGTCGTTCCAATTTCCTTAAAAGGCCTAAAACTGTAGTCTGGAATGGCCCGTACTGCAATTAGAACGGCCCGTTCTGGTTGCAGAACAGGCCGTTCTGATTGTAGCACGGGCCGTTCTCCAATTCGAACGACGCGTTCTGATTGCAGTATGAGCCGTACTACAACCAGAACGGGCTGTTCTGACTGCAGAGCGGCCCGTTCCAGATTTGAAATTTACGAAAATGCAAGACATGAGAAAAAAATTAGAATATTACCTTGATATAGTCTTGTAAAGAAAATGAGAAGTTAGGGACTTTAGATGTGAGTGCGAGAGAGAGTAAAAAAAATGGAGGAAAAAATTAAAGAGAATAGAGGGAAAGAAATGGAGGGAAAGAGAATAAATTTAGGCATTGACATTTTTAAAATCGGTTATTTAAGAACCGATTTTAAAAGTAGCACTTTTAAAAATCGGTTCTTAATGAGCTGATTTTAAAAGTAGCTTTTAAAATCGGCTCTTAAGTAACCGATTTGAAAAGTTCTTAAGGAGCCGATTTTAAAAGATTTTTAAAATCGGTTCTTAAGTAACCGATTTTAAAAGTAGCACTTTTAAAATCGGTTCTTATGTAACCGATTTTAAAAGTAACATTTTTAAAAAATCGGCTCTTCAGTAGCCGATTTTAAAAGTGTTACTTTTAAAATCGGTTACTTAAGAACTGATTTTAAAAGCTACTTTTAACATCGGCTCCTTAAGAACCGATTTTAAAAGTTGCATCAGAGACCTTTTAAAATTGATTAAAAGGTAACCGATTTAAAAAGTAATGTCATTATTTACAAAATTGTTACTGCGTCACTTTTAACATAGGCTGCTTGAGAGCCGATTTTAAAATTCCAATTTTAAAAGTGATTTTTGTACTAGTAAAAAAGTCGTATAGGAAACTTTTTTCTTTATGCAATCCTTTTTATGAGTATTATTCGCAGGCAATATTATAATAAGTTGCAGGAAAACTCACATGTAAAGTTACCTACGGATTTGCAAATTTTAATCATTAGGAAAAATTAAAAAAAAATATTTAAATTATTAGTTTAAAATAATAAAGTTTTTTCTTAATAAAATAATATTTTACTAAATCATTAATAAATATCTCATCATTAAAAAATTAATTTAAAAAATAAGATACAAAAAAAATTATAGATATGTAATAAGTTAACAATACTAACTTTTAATTTAGTGATAAAATTTAAAATAAAATTATCTAATGAAAATTAATTGCAAATTTTGTTGTGAGTTTAAATCTACAAGAAAGTCTACAGGTAATTTCTTTATAAAAATAAATATTAATAATTATAATAAATGACTAAAATAAAAATATTTAATATAAAACCAAATAAATTTCTTAAATTAAATATATTATAAAATAATTATGTAATAATAAGTTAAATCGATTAATTCTTGTACTTAGAAAATAAAAATAAAAATGTATACTTTTAAATATAATTCACTTGGCAATTTTGTGGTACAATGAACAGGGAAAAATGGTGAAATTAATGAGACTACATGTGAATCTAATATTTTGTCCCTGATGCGTTTTAATTCCGATAGAAAACAATACTACAAATTTGTGATTTGACTTTTCTCTTTAATGTATATTTTATTTAACAAAATCTAAATTTATAATATTAATATTGTAAAATAAAACATATTACATTAATAAATATTTTATAATTAAATTAAAAAATTTATTTTAAAATAATTATTATGAATAAAAAATTTAATATAATTAAAAATTAGATGAACTCGAACTGTCTACACGAAGTACTACAAAAACATACAATGTTAAGAGCTTATATATTCAATATTCATAGGGAAAAAGTTAGCAGATTCAAACTCTTGATTCAAAGTTCTTCCATTCAAGTCTTTCATGACTACGACGCAAGAAACAACCAAGAAATTAATTGTTCGATGGATATGGCTTCCATCCAAGTTTTATGGTAAGTGCTCATTCTCTCTTACTAAACGTGTGTCATACTTGTGCCCGTACGTTGCACGAAAAATAAATTATTATAGTTAATAAATTTTATTTTAATAATTAATATATATATATATAATTGTGAAAATTAATTGAACTCAACGTAACATGAAAAAAAAATTTGAATATACAAATGAAACAATAATGATAAATGATTGAAAACATGATAATATAATGTATTAGAAAAACTAAATTGCATTGTGTCTCAGCTTTAAAAACATCAACATCTACAATATGAGTTAATGCATTAACCTGAAGAAAAAAACTTTATAATTAACTTATAAGATGTGTAATATTAAAATGCTATAAAGATGTAGTAATTCAAATAGAA